TGCAGGGTGCCCACCTGGCTGTGATTGACTCACTCATGGTGGCGTTTGCCACAGAAGCCACGAGCTCACTACCCACGCCCCCTGGCATGGACACATGGCCTGATGCCTGGGAGCAGAAGCTGCTGTGCTGGGTGGACATGGTATGGGGCTGGGGTGCAGTGTGGGGGCCAAAGGGCATGGGGAGGTGCTGGGTTGGGGACAGAGGGCATGGGGTGGCTTGGGGGTTTTGGAGTCTGCAGGGGGAGTCATGCCACAGGGCTGCAGCTCACTACCCACGCCCCCTGGCATGGACACATGGCCTGATGCCTGGGAGCAGAAGCTGCTGTGCTGGGTGGACATGGTATGGGGCTGGGGTGCAGTGTGGGGGCCAAAGGGCATGGGGAGGTGCTGGGTTGGGGACAGAGGGCATGGGGTGGCTTGGGGGTTTTGGAGTCTGCAGGGGGAGTCATGCCACAGGGCTGCAGTGCCCTCAAGGGACCCCATCTCTAGTGGGGGGCTGGGGTCTCCCCTTGCCCCCCCCCAGGCACAGACTAACCCCCTCCCCCCACAGGTGACCCGCAGGCTGCAAGACAGCACAGAGCGGGAGAGCTCCCAGCGCCCTGCCCCGGGCACCGAAGGGCTGGCCCAGTCCTCAGCCCCCGGCCACAAGGTGGGTACCCCTGGTGGCATGAAGCGGGGGGTCTGTTTGGGGGGCGGGGGGAGGCTAGGCACCACAGTCTCGGGGATCTCCCTCTGTGCTCCCCCCTCTGGGGGTCCCCCTCCCTGCTGGCTCTCACTCTGGGGGAGCTGTGGCTGGTCCCCACTCCTTCCCCTCTGTTTTGGGGGGTCCCGTTCCCCTCTCAAGCTGGAGGGGTCTGGCTAGTCTCAGCCCCCTGTGCTTGTCCCTGCCAGCCCCTCCTGCCTTTTGCCCCCCAGGGGTGGCTTCTTGTGGCTCCCGGCCCCTGCCCGGGGTGCAGGAGCACCCCCCACCCCCCCAGCTGACACGGTGTGACGCTCCTGTCTCTTCTCTTCCGCGCCGCTCTCCTCCTCCGGCGCCTTTCTCCTTCCTCCGCTTCAGTGTCCCACCCGGTGGTACTGGAAACTGGTTCCTGTAAGTGGGCCTCTCTGTCTTCTCCCCCCAGCCCCCATGCTGGGGACTGGGGCTGCATGCCGGGAGCCCTTGAGGAAAGGATGCTGGGCCCCACCACAGCAGGGGGAAGCGGGGCAAGTCGGGTATTGTTGGATGGAAAAGTGCCCTCCAGGAGGCGATGGGGCAGCCCCAGGACATTGTGGGATGGAGGGGGTGCCAACTTGGTGTGAGCCAGGGCACTGGGATAGAAAAGTGCCCACCATGGGGCGGTGAGGTCAGCCTAGGGCATTGTATAGGGGGCTGCCCCAGGGCATTGTAGGGTGGAGGGAGGGTGCCAGGTTGGGGTGGCCCAGGGCATTGTGGAATGCAAAGGTGCCTGCTGTGTGGTAGTGGGGACAGCCTGGGGCACTGTGGGATGGAAGGGCTGCCAGCTTGGGTGGGGTGCAGGGGTGGCCCAAGGCACTGTGGGATGGAGAAGTGCACACCATGAGGCAGTGAGAGCAGCCTGGGGCATTGTGAGAAGGAAAGGTGCCTGCTGTGAGATAATAAGGGCAGCCCAAGGCATTATGGGAATGGGGATGCAGCCTGAGGCATTTTGGGAATGAATTGGTGATGCCAATTTGGCTATGCCAATTTGCGGGGGTGGAGCAGGAGTGGCCCAGGGCATTGTGGGAATATGAGGTAGTGTCTGCTGGGCTAGGTGGGGCAGTAATGGCCCAAAGCATTGTGGGATTGGGGAAACATGCCTGCTTTGGGGCTGCCAGCCCAGAACATTGTGGGATTGGGGCTTGGGGCAGTGGCCGTGGTGGCCCCAGGGCACAACAGCCTGCCCCAGGAGTGATGAGGACAGCCCACAGCATTGTGGCAATGTGGGACTATTTGTGCCAGGGCAGGGGAGATTGTGGCCTAGAGCATTATGGGATAGTGGGGGGTGGCATGGACTCTCCCATGGCTGTGCTAATGGAGGGGGTTGAGATCCCTCCTGCTGGGGGGCTGGAGCATGGGTGCCTGCATCCCAGCATCCTTTGCTCACTCTCCCCTCCCCCCTTCTGTCTCTTAGCTCCTGCCTGTGGTTCTGGGGAGGCTGGGTTGGGGGGGGCACCACCTGAACCAGGCTGGTGTGAGGAGAGATCCCCTTTGTGAATGGGGGTCCCCAAATCCCCCCCATACACAGCACTGTCTGCTTGGGGGTCCCCAGCTGCAGCCACTTTGGGGGTGGGGGGTCAATGCTGAGCTAAGAGACCCTGAGAGGGGTAGCATGCAATGCCCCCCTCCCTTCTGCTTGTTCCCCCTCCCCTCCTTCCCACCCCCCCACCAAA